TGACGCAACAATATCAATGTGAGGATGTCTAGGAAGAAAGAGATCGAGTCATTAGTCTAACACTCATGACAAAGGATGTTGTTTCAAGTACTTTCTCCCAAGTGTGAGACACCATTCCGTCGATCTTAGAATATGCTCACTTGTATCCAAAATTTAGATGACTCAGAAAAATATCCTGGCTGTGAAGCTTGAATAAAGTAATGGATTATGATATGTAATTAAACGTTTACAATAGTAATACCACTGATGGGTAGAACGTTCTCCACTCTGAATGACGGTGACGTAAATGTGTTATATCGAACACTCGCTGCAAAGAACTTACAGAAAAAGAACGAAGGGGAAACATTGCACATGTCTGTAAAAATAACAAAGTTTTGTTGTATTATAACATTTACTAAAATACTCTCTACCTAGGAGGTTTGGAAAATACGTGTATTTCTTGTATAGGTTTGTAACAGTCTACAATGAACACGCCGCTACAATCAGGGATCAACAAAAATTATTCACAACTAGCTGGAGTACCCGTCCCTTGGATGGAAGTTATGTAAATTCATGATTAATGAAAGGTTCTCTTAGGACAGGAAAAGTTGCTTCTCTTATATATTCATGATGTTAGAAAAACACGTAGGTTCAAGAAGTCATGAAAAACTCTATAACCAGAGCGCTTTGAAAGGTGGACCTTTCTTCTTCAGGGGCAAACTGTAATATGTATTTGTAATTGTAAAAACCGCCCATAAAAACCGGAAAACTGCAAATTTGTATGTACCCCAGCATGCACCTAATAAACCTCCACACTGATTTTACAGAAGATTTTTCTACACCTTGCGAAGTAGTTACATGGACATACAAGAGACAGTACTATTAGATTTATACAGATACATACAACAGACAGTACTATTATATTTATATAGATACATACAACAGACAGTACTATTAGATTTATACAGATACATACAACAGACAGTACTATTATATTTATACAGATACATACAACAGACAGTACTATTATATTTATATAAATACATACAACAGACAGTACTATTAGATTTATACAGATACGTACAACAGACAGTACTATTAGATTTATACAGATACATACAACAGACAGTACTATTATATTTATATAAATACATACAACAGACAGTACTATTAGATTTATACAGATACATACAAGAGACAGTACTATTAGATTTATACAGATACATACAACAGACAGTACTATTATATTTATATAGATACATACAACAGACAGTACTATTAGATTTATACAGATACGTACAACAGACAGTACTATTATATTTATATAGATACATACAACAGACAGTACTATTAGATTTATACAGATACGTACAACAGACAGTACTATTATATTTATATAGATACATACAACAGACAGTACTATTAGATTTATACAGATACGTACAACAGACAGTACTATTATATTTATAT